ATTTAAAGCTCTTTATCATACAAAGCCACCATTTCTGGATTTAAGAATCCACAGCTGGGGCCGTGTTGAGAATTAGATATAACAAGTGAGGACCTGTGATACGGGTGGGGGGGGATCCTTGCATCACTGCTTGTTCCCCACACCCAATTCCCTCCTTATGGCTCGGAGGGGAGGGATTCACAGAGAGGAATCCCATATCTGCCCCCACCACTGAGCCCGGAACGGATCCAGGCCCTACTGCATACTATTGAACCCAGCATACTCCTGTAATTTTGAATTCAGATTTTTCTGCAAACCTGGGAAGTCACCCAAGTTTAAAGAAAAATCTGTCTGGCGCCAGTGTGGCCCTATCCGCAGATTTAGGTATCCGCGGATGGGGGCCACATATTGCGATTAGTATATAGATGATATTCTGCCTGTCTTTTTTAAAAAACAAACTACACCCGCTGCTGATGCATTTCTGTGGCAAAGTTAAGAATGCTGATTCTTATCTTCACATCCCTGAATTGACCAAGGACAGAATAGCCAAAGATTCATCTTCAGTATAACCCTGTGTAAATTAAGGTTCACTTCTGAGGTCCTGTTCTTTGTGCCCCCGTTTTCTGAACCAAAGTGCCTTTTCTGTAGTGGTGCTCTAGCTGCGGAATACTCTCCCTCTACCCTTGTGCCTGCTTTTATTTTGTTTTAGATGCCAAGTAAAAATTCATTTGCGATAGCATTTGGTTAATTGTGTTGTATTCCTTCTTGCTAAGTTTTTTATTGTGGGTTTTATCAGTAGAAAAGAGCAAGCGTCCAGTAGCACCTTAAAGACTAACAAAATTTGTGGCAGGGTAGGAGCTTTCATGAGTCACTACTTACTTCTTCAGTTTTTATGGTGCTGTTTTCATTTCACTGCCTTTAGTGACTGTATTGATGACAGATTTTAGTGGTTTTGATAATATATTTTTATGTTTTATTCTGAACTTATGGTAAAGTGTTTTGAGAATTCTTTTTGGAAAAGGTGGCAGCAAGTTTTCTAAAATTAATAAGTGTGCATTGTTTTGTTTTCCATGATTTCAGTGTTAGTTGACTGGTCCTCCAGAAACCTCCCTAATCTCTTGTGCTGGGACTATTCCTATTTTTTAATCTTCAGCTTAGTGGAGATCTTGGTTATTAATCAACTGTTAAGGATTAGAGTATGCTGAATCCCCCCCCCCCATTCCTTACAGTTATGAACATGGTGTTTCATTTGGGTTTCTTCCTCCTAGCAGAGAAGTACAAACTTTGTGGGAAGAGGCAGAAGCGTCTTGTCGCTTGCACCAATGTTGCATCCTGAACCAGAGTGGTATAGTGATTAATGTCTTGGCCTAGGTCTGAACCTGTGTCAAACCCCAGTGGGTGACTTTGGACTAGTCTCTTTCTCAGACTTCTCTGTCTCACAGGGTTTTTGTGAGGGTAAAATGGAACAGGGTAGACTTTTGTACCCTAAGCTCCATAGAGGAAACATGGGACAAAAATGTGATAGATAGCTAGAACCACCATTATAGGTGAATCTCTCTATATCCAACCAAACATCTGTGGATTTCACAAAGGGGTTTTACTCCCAGGACCTTTCAACTTTCCATGTAGCCCACTGGACCCCCCCCCAAAAAAAAGACCCTTTTGTTCCTGGGTTCAGAAGGCTCAGGGGACAGCATGAAGGCAATGGGAGGAGGGAATCTGTAGAAATCGCCAGCCCCTATTCCAAAAATGGAAATACCACCCTGTTGAAGGAACTGTGTGGTTGAATAAGTGCCACCATTCATTGGAAAGAAAGCGAGCAAGAGAATTTTGAAGCAATGTTATTGCTTTTTGCCCTTGTCACGAAACCTGAGGTGCAGGGGATTGGGGTAGCATACAAATCTTCATTCAGGCTCCAAGGATACCACACATGGTTGAGGCTAAGGGAGGGTGACTGACCCAAGGTCACCCAGCAAGCTCTCCCTGTTTCTGGTTCAAGACTCTGATCACTACATCACACTGACTGTTCAGTGGCTTATTCGAAATAAGAGACAATGCAATAAACAAATGTATTTTCTCTTCACTTGGGCCAGTGAAGAGAAATTATTTTAGAAGCTGTAGGTTATAGCAGAGGAGTCAGAAATAGTGATTTGGAATTTTTCTGTTTCCCCATATCTATGATTTATCCTGGCTTTGTATAATTGGTAAGGACTGATGATACCCATAGTGGAACACAGTGATTTTTGCTAGGCTGCCAAGAGTCACCCCAAGCACACAGACAAAGGATTATTTTAGACACCCACCTCCCTTCACACCATCCAGATCCAATCCCAAACAAATCACATGACATACTTTGAGCATAGGTTGTTCAGAGGGGCATTTAAACCAAGTCCTGAGTCGAGGAGCCATTCCTGTGGGAGTATACAAGCATGCAGAGCAGTGGAAAGAAGAGGAGTTGAATAATGAGGAGGGAAGACTAGGGCCAAGTTGTTGCTGGTTTTAGAGCTGCCTATCAGCTGCACCTTGCCAAGCTCCCAAGACATCCTCCTCTGTGCCTTGTTTCCAAGTCTGATTTTGCTGAAATGCATTTGTGGTTTCCCTACCAGAGTATGTTCTCCACTGCCCTCTGGAACAGACCGTCTCCTCTCTCCCTTTTCATTATTTTCTCTCCATCCAGAGTCTACAGAGTAAAACATATTTGAGCTGCTCTTTACAAAGAGTTGTTGTAGCCAGTAGCTAAGAGATTGTGCCGGGGACCAGGAAGTCCATGGTTCAAATGTTGCCCCTGCCAGGAACTCACCAAGTAGCCTTAGGCAAGTCATCCTTCTCTTTGCTTCCCCCCCCCAACTGCCCAAACAACACATTGGCCTGCTTTCCATTGTCTTTGATAATATGTGTGCCACTCTTTGAACATTCTAAGGCATGCTAAGTGTCCCCCTAAAGCATTTTTGCAGTTCTCATAATTCATTGCTGACTCTGAGATGTGTCTGCCTTAGAGTTTCTGACCTTTTTTTTTTTTTTTTGGAGGGGGGGAATCCAGAGATTTGCTAAAGAATGTGAAAGTAGACAGAGCAGTAGCTGCTACTGTAAATTTATGGCTAAACAAAAAATGTGGCTGGGCTGACTACTTAAGTTTTTTAGCCAAGATCATTGTACTTTTCTTTCTCATTTATATACACTGCCTTTTAAACAGCACAGCCTGTTTTATAATCCTCTTTCCTTCGCACAATTATCATTCCGGACTGGATCAGTGTTCCCACCATTTTACCATGGAGGCTCTGAAGCTGTCACAGTGCCTTGCCCTAAGCTAGGGCTTTACTCTTTACAGCTACCAGGTTCTTAAAAAGCAACCCTATTTTCCACAAGAGGCCAGTTAACACTCACCCCCCTTTCTACCCAGGAGCGCTCAATGTGAAAAATGCAAAGAAAAACAATGCAATATTAAAATACCCACCTCCTCCAGAAACCCCAGTTAGTTCCTTCCTCCAAAAGGAAAACAGTAACATGATCCTCTGTGAGCAAGAACTAAGTTGGGTATATGTTGTTGCTTACACTAACCCACCTACAAAAGCCCACCCATCTATGAATGTCTTAGTTTTCTGAAGCACCATCCACAGATTCTAAGAATTTCAGAGAAACAAGCCAACAAAACAACCAGTAGAAGCCAAAAAACAAAAAGAAACAGCTGCTGCCACCGTAGTGCATTTTGGAAATGGAGTTTTTGGCTTGCAATGACAGCAGAAGCAAAAAATAAATTGACTACAGCTACATTAGTTCCTGATGCTCTTGAATTAACATGGTAGGATGATGCATAAGATTTTGCCTTTCTCTTTATACAAAAGGAGAGCCAGCAGAGAAGCTGTGGTTTTTCTGCTGAAAAGAGGATTATACTAAGCAATATTTTGAACAAGGAACAGGGTAATTTAAATGGTTTATGACAGTATTTGAGTATAGAATAAAAGGAGAAGCTGAAGGTCAGGGGCAGAGCATCCGGTTTGTGTACAGAAGGCCCCAGATTCCATCTCTGGCATCCCCAGGTGGAAAAGCTGTTGGGGAGCACTGCTGGGAATGACTCCTTTCTGGCTTCTTGGAGAGCCTGTACGAGCCACGTCAACTGTGTTGAACTGACCATCCAGTCTCATGGAATAAAGCACCTTTGTATGACAGAATTGCATGCTTGTCAGCAAGAGAAAATCCAATTTTTTTTATTTTTGTTGTTGTTGTTTTAAAGAAAGCAGTTGATATTGTTGAGGAAAGAGAACAATGTGCATTCAGAAGCATTGTCTGACCGGGTTAGGGACCCCTTTTTGTGTCTGCCAGGGTTGGTCGTCTGGAAATCTGCAGTGATCTTACTTCTCCCAAGAACCCTTTTTCCTAGCCACGAGTATTTCCGTCTTGTTTCCCATTTTCAAGCTAGTCCTAGTCCAGTGGAGTACACAGTGTGTTCCCAACCCTGGTAATGCATAAACAGTTTTAAAAATCCAGTCTGCCAAACCAGTATTTACATATTTAAAGACACAACAATTTGCTTTTTTCCTGCCCAGTGAACTGGATTTAGTTGATTACAGGCTATTTTAGGAACTGGCCAGACTTAATAACATGGCAACATATTTACCATTTGATTACCTACAAGAGAGAATTTTTCAGAGCACGGTCTCGTAGATCTGATACAGATTCTGGCATTTCTCACCTTTACTGTAATACATTTTCTTGCAAAAGGCACTCATGCACATACTTGCTCCCTGTAATTTCTAGGTTTTTTATTTGTAAGCCTAAAGGGCACACTTCACTTTTTGATGCCTCCTTCAAAAGCAGCCAGAATGCACTTATTTTGGCTCATGCAGAAGTTCTTTAGAGGACCCAAGAAGATCTGGAAGCAGATAAGGGGAAAGGCAGAGGTGTGTCTGTACTGGTGGCAGGATCTCATCTCCTTTTATCTTGTTTAGGTTTCTCCTCTGCCTCCTACTTAAAGGTCCATGTTAAAACCCACCACGGTGTTCCCCTTCCCCAGGTCTCCAGGCACCCGGAGCCCATCCCGAATGGGGGAGCAGCGTTCCACAGCATCAGGACCTATGGCATCAAAGGCAAGCGACTCCCTGCTCTGCACTTTCCGTCTCTCGGCGTAGGACTTTGTGTTGTTGGATGCTGGGCATGGGAAGGAGGGGAAGAGGGAAACGGTTTGGAGAAAGCAGGTGTAAGAGTCAGCAGAGTGGAATGGTAACATTTCTCTTGGACTGCAAGCAGAAAGGTTGCATGTCTGAATGCTCTTCCGTAGAGGGGGAGGAATCCTCATTGCATGGAGAACGCTAGCATCTAGGAAGACAACATGAGCCCTGCTGGATCCCAGCCCTCTGTCATTTATAGTGATTCTGAACATGGAAGCTCCATGTTTCTACTTATGGCTAATAGCTGTTGACAGACCTCTTCCTCCTCAGCAACTTTGCCCAGTCCACAGTGCCACATATTGAGTCAAGGAATTCCATGAGTTAATTATCCATTATGTGAAGGAGGAATTTATCTAGAGGGATGATTCCGGCCTATCCCTTTTCCATTAAATATTAGGGTGTTTCTTTTTCATGTAGTGAGGGGTTTTTTCCCCTCATGAAGGAACATTCAGACACACGATCCCCCACTTTTAGCTTGAAGTCCAGGAAGAACTGTACCATTTGATGGTATCAATTGGGGGGGAAACCACAAATAAAACAGTGTTCTGTTTTGTAAGCTGTAGCTGACAATGCCCCTGAGCAGAGGATTTACATTCCCCACCCCCACGCTTCATAGAATCCAGGTGTGGGGGGGGGAATCGTAGTACATCCACATTTTCTTTGAGACAGGTGAAGGCCTTGAAGTCAGAAAGCTGAACACACAGTTGACTCCCTTGTTAAGATTACCTTGCCTGTGAGATGCCTTTTGGAGCTGGCCTCCAGCTTTAGCAAGGCTCAAACCAGGTTCTTAGTGGTCAGCCTGTGTGTGGGTTGTGCAGCGTCAGACTCACATGGCTGAAGCCCACCTTTATAAAATGCCTCCAGAAAGAAAACAAGCTTGTTGGAGAAAAGGGTGGCCTAGGACCCTTTCCTTTAACATTGGGGGGGGGGATTGCATCTAGTTTAATATGGAAGAGTTCTTTGAGCACCTACATGCAATCTGAAGTGGTACAGCCTAGATACAGCTTTAAATCCTCAGTGGTAGCATTAGGCCTCAGCTTCTGGTTTTACTTGAGAAAATCTTTGCAGGGTGAATGTGATGTCTACTCAGGCTTCTGTTTCAATCATCTGTTCTGCTATGGGCTGCCAGTCAAGTGTCCTGTTCAGGTGGCAGATCTTGTGTGCTGCAAAGGGCAGTGGACAGGGAGACAGATCTGAGCCCCAGGGCAAAAACCCTCTGTGAAGTTCTCTGCAAGCCTCATTGGAAGGAGCTGTACCTGTGTAAGGCCATAGTAATGCTCAGAGCTGAGCACAACGTATTGGGAAGCCTTCCTGCACGGCCTGTAGAAAGGGGGTGACATACCATGTGCCCTTTCCTCTTCAGATCCCAAAACGTGTCTGGCTAAATCTTGACATCTGGTTTTATTGTCATTGTTCTGGTTTGGGTTGAATCGATTGATCTTATTTGGGACATTTTGTAAGGGAAGGTTTACAAATAGCTTTGCAGTTTGTGTACAGTAGTGTCAATCAGGCTCTGTTTGCCACTGTCCCTCCTGCATGATGGCCCCTTCTGGCACTGAATACACTAGGAAGTTGCCACTCCCATAGGAGAGCAGTGGATATTGTTATAGGATTCTCTTTCCTTAAAAGCTCTTTGTATTCTTTGTGGTGTGCTGTGCTGATGGCGGGAGGTTTGCTTCTCTATGTTGTTTCCCAGACAGACATTGCAAGAGTAGTACCATAACATCTTGGTTCTAAGCTGTATGGCTGTGGGAAAAAATCATAAAGATCTGTGTGGCTCTTTGTGTCTCTAGAGTCCTTGTTTGTGCTTTTCAAACATGGCAAACATTCTTTAGCTTGAGAGTGGAGACTGAATTAGGTTTTATATTCAGATCACTGTGAGGGGTGTATAGACAAGGGGGAGGGGTGGGATGATGAGTGGGGCCCGAATGAAGGATACCAGCTACTCTGGCTGGGGAATATCACTTGGTAATTAGGGATAGTCTCTCTGTGCATGACCCAAACCCCTCTAAATGGGATAGTCTCTCTGTGCATGACACCCCTCCAGATTTTAATAGTATTATTTAATCCAGGTTATAACATACAGGTCTTTAAAAATAGTTTTGCATTCTGATTCCAAGTTGGAGCTTCACCACTGAAGAAGACTGCCTCGAGGTGGAGAGCAGCTGTTGATTCCATGATTGGGGGGGGGGGGGCTGGCTGGACTCCTCTTTTGTCAACTGGTTGTGCTTCCGTTGTGTCCTGTGATGATTATACAATTCACTGGCCATTCTTATGCACAGCAGTCATTTGCGCTTCAGTGCTGGGAGAAGGAGACTTCCATGTGTGGCTCTGCAGTACTGAGGGACCTTTTATACACAGTATTCGGTGAACCTGAGATGTACACATATATAAGGGCATGGGGTAAGGCATTTTATACAAATGTTGCAGGTACCGCTAGTGCCACTGCAGTTCGTAATGTGAAAGTTAAGAGCCAAAAGCATGTGAATTTTGATGCACATTATGGCCCGGCTTGGAAATAGCTACTTATCTGCTCACCTCTGCAAGTCAAAATATCCAGGTTTGTTTAGGCAGGGAAGTTGGGTCTACAAAGGACATGTGGTTAAGCCAGTGGCTGGTAGCAAAATTATGGGGGCTGTTGACTTTTATAAACTCATTTGTGTGAGGACGGAATAGGGTTATGTGTAGGTTTGTAATGCCTCCATTGCATGCTAAAGGAAGTGTAGAGTTGTCATCGTGGGGAAACAGGTGGTGACCTCCAGTGTACTAAATACTTGCCTGGGTCTAAAAGCTTGCCTTTTCTTTCTCTCCCTAGAAGGCCAGAAATGCTCACATTCGGACCAGATTGAGAGTTCAGATTCCTATGGCGATCTCTCCGATGCCAGCGACCTCAAGACCCCCGAGAAACAAAACGCCAATGGTTCCTTCTCCTGCGACATGGTGGTCACCAAAAATAAATTGGAGTCAGAGGGAGATAAGAAGTACCCCTGTCCTGAATGCGGAAGCTTTTTCAGATCCAAGTCCTATCTCAACAAACATATACAGAAAGTTCATGTTCGCTCCCTGGGGGCCCCATTAGGGGACTTGGGCCCTGCACTGGGCTCCCCCTTTTCACCCCAACAGAACATGTCTCTTCTGGAATCATTTGGGTTTCAGATTGTTCAGTCTGCATTTGCATCCTCCCTAGTGGATCCAGAGGTCGACCAGCAACCAATGGGGCCGGATGGAAAATGAAGGCCAGCTTTAACCTTAACAAAACAGTCTGTTTTATGTATAATTATAAAATGGCTGTGAACAAGGGGGAGGTAACAGAATCCAGTTTTGTAGCTGAGGCATTTTTAATACCCTTTAGGTTCCCTCCTTCACTTGTTCTCCTCCCCTCTAAATCTTCCCTGGGTGGAGAATGTTGGTCACCTGATGATTTTCAGGGTGTCTGCATGACAATGAATTGATGACGACTTTCAGGGCTGCAGTGCAGGCAGGATTTGTGCAAACCATCCAAGAGGTCTGTGGATGGTCCAACTTGGAACCAGGAAAGAATGAAAAGCCACACTGGTTTGAGAATTTTAAAGAATCCAAGTTGACCCGGCAGAGAGAGGTAGCCTTCTTGATACCCTTGATCTTCTCATTCTCTCTGCCCCATAACTTTCCTGAGATTCTCATATTAGCATCATTGTCTGCTCATAAAAACACACCCTGTGGTATCTAGTAGGTAAAAGTGCCGTTCTTTTTACAAAACAGAAATCAAGCTTTCTTTCTTTTTTAAGTTATTTTTGTTTTTAAACAATGCAGATTCACATCAAAGTGGGTGCCGCAAGATTGACGGGCAATGCCACCACCATCTGGCTGTCAGCAAATCCAAAACATGTTCCTGGGACAATCCAATGGGAAATTCTCCTGCACAATCTACATATACGGGGGCCCTATTCATTTCAGTGGGCCTTGGCAGGAGAATTTCCAGCAGATGGTGCCCTTTGTTTGTTTCTCTAATCTTCACAAACTTTCTATTGGTTTTCTGGATCTCTCTTTTTTGTTATTATTACCTTTATGATTTTAGGACCTGTTATAGTGATTTGCCACTGAGATGCCCTTTCAAGGCAATTATACGGAGAGCTCTTAAAGCAGCAGTCATATTAGGGGTAGTATTAATTTTTTAGATGTATCATAATTAATAACTTGGCTAGTTGATTGTTTTTTAAGTCTATGGAATAAAATAGTTATGCAAAACGGAAAAAAAGGAAAAAATGAATAGAAGAGGTTAAAAATAAAAAATAACAACAGTGCACACTTCGTTGGTTGATGCTGGTTTGATGCATAAAAGACCCCAGAAGATTAAATTGATCAGCGATAGGATACATTTTTCTGTACCGCCAACATGTTTAGTGCAATTAAATATATAGGGTTCACAGAGTGATTTTTTTTAATAATTGGATTGGACTGCATTAAAGAAGTTAGAATGTTACTTTACACCCCTTCTTTTTGTCTGGTTTCTAATTTGGAAAGGTATGGGGGGGGGTTAACAGTTTAGTTACCATCCTGAAATGTTTGCATCTGAGAACTGGGAAACAACAAGACTTTTATCACATCAACAAGATTCTTATCACATCAACAGTCTGGAATGTTGACTCTGGTGGGGCTTACATCAGAGCTGTTGACCTGATACAGGCACATCATTTATAAAGCACATTCAGGGGATCAGAAGCACCCCTTGGACTGGCTCCCACCTTCTTCCTCTCTTCTAATCAGATTTCCCCCTCACTTTCATTCTGTGCTAACAGTGGTTAGTGTTATGCCTGCATTTAACACTATTATTTGGCATTAAACAGGGCTGGTTTAAGCAGCTTCAAAACCATGGGTAGCATTAGTGTTGGTGCAGCTGACAAGGGAACAAAGGAAGGAAGAAGCACATTAGCCCAAGGGCTACTTCCCATTGGTTAGTCATAGCTAAGAGAACATTGACATCTACACAGGGCCACTGTCTCTTGATCAAGCCCTGACTAAGGGCAATGAGAATGGTGAGATTTGAACTGAGTAACATAAATTCCTTCCAGTGTAACTTGTTCAGGGGATGTCTGAGAAATAGTGCCTGTTTGTCTATCCCCCCCCCTTAAGGTCAAGTGACCAAGGAGGCTTAAACTTCCCTGTAGCATACACCAACAGAAGATTATATTGGAGCCACTATTCAAAGGAACACCTTCCAGTCTTTGACACACTTTACAGCCCCAACTCTTAAGAAAATGCAAAAAGTTTTAAAGGAGTCCACTGCAGCAAGTAGTGGAATATTCTGCTCTGAAAATAGTCATCAACTGAAAGTCCTTAGGCCAAATCCAGCCCACTGAAGAGTCACCCTTGCAGTGAAAGCCAGTAAAGTAAATTCCATTTGTGATACTAGAATTTGCTGACAGGCTGCTTTAGGGAAGGTATTTGGGGCACTGGCCCACCACTCCTCACTCAGTTCTCAGAGTAGCTATCCAGTAAAATTGGTTCCAACCCTCATTTTAGATAATAATACTATAATGGCCCCTGTTTCAATGAGGAATTCTCACTTTGTGCTTAAGGAACACAACTGTCTCCAATTGGTAGAGTCTTTCGGAATGCACAGATTTCCTTTGTTTGAATTAGAAACATCCCCAAATCTCATTGGAGCCAGAGAACAGGACTCTTACATATTCAGCTTCTAAATTATTGTAATGGGGTATTCGGCATGACTTAAGACTTGAATTAACCATAGGATTAGATAGGTTTGTGAGCAAGTGCTCTTTAGTTATTTCCTACTTTATCCTAATGGAGTTGGAATCTAGTTTTGCGCATGGAGTGTTATAATTATTGAAATACTGGGTTATAGTAAAGCCTTTCAGTTAGCAAGATGAGAATGGAGTGTGGGGGAACCAAGAGAATGAAAGGAATTGTGTGTTTATTCCCTAGCAAAACTGAGGTCCCGGTCACATGCAGAATTAGCCGCATGAGAGGGACAAATGCTGGGCGGATTTTAAGGGTGCGATCACACGAAAACATCTGGCAAGTGTCCCGCACCCGTCGGCAACCCGTATCGCCCGGCTGAAGAAGTGGAGTTAAAAGATACCAGGGGAAGTGCACTATTTTCCGGAAAAAGTGGGGCGCGGGCGGGCGTCAGATCGCGGAAGCGCTGGTATCCTGTCGCATCCGGTGGTATGCGTGCAAACAGAACTGCGCATGCACACAAAGGCGTACTGCTGAACTGCCTCACCCTTCTTTGCCACGCTTCACCATCAACGTGTGATCGCGGCTGAGGGCATGTTGCACAGAGCCTCGGGAAACGTCTGATCGCGATACCATGCTTCATTTTACTCCGGAGCAAAAAGCCTCGCTTCGCCCCCGGATTATCTCGCTGGTGTGACCGGGACCTGAGATCCCCAGGTCAATGAAGATGGCAGCTCTGGTTGTTTTTCTGTCACGGAACTTCGTTTGGCCCAAGGTACAGTTATATTGTAGAATTGTGGTTGCCACAAATGAGATGTCTCCCCCCACCAAGGTTGAAAAAAAAACTTAAGCTCCTGTATAGATCAGGGCATTATGAGACTGGCCATTTTGTTTTCTAATTCCTTTCCTAATAAATACTGTATAGATGACGTTCTAGGGCTTATTGACAAAAATGAATAAATCACAGTAAACAGGAAGAATGAACAAGAGGCACTTTGTTATATGTGGTAAAACAAAGAAATTTGTGGTAAGCACCTGTTTTCTTCAGACCCCTTTGATGCAACTAATAGTTCTTGGGAATGGAAGAAATGCAACATATGTATAAATGCATGAAGCAGCCTTATACTGAGTGACCACTGGTCTATCAAGGTCAGTATAATTTATTTTGACTGGTCAAGGCCTTTAAGAGCATAAGAAGAGCCCTGCTGAATTCCTGGCTCCGGGATTCAAAGGCTAAGTGTGAGGTTCCCCTCAGTCACCATGGCTAGTAGCCATTGGTAGACTTATCCTCCATAAATATATCTACTCTCCCTTTAAAGCTTTTTATTTCTGTGGCTATCACAACATCTTCTGGCAGCGAATTCTACATTTTAATCACTGTAAAGTAGTATTTCCTTTTGTCCATCCTGAGTCTACTGCCCATCAACTTCATTGGATGCCCTCGAGCTCTAGTATTTTGGGGGAGAGAGAAGAATACTAGAACTCAAGGGCGTATAATGAAGCTGATGGGCAGTAGGTTCAGGAAGAACAAAAGGAAATACTACTTTACACAGAGTGATTGAAATGTGGGATTTGTATCATCTACTACCTCATCCATTTTAACTGGAGATTACAAGATGGAACCCGGAACATCCCACATGGCATGCAAAACATGTTACACCACTGAGCCACAGCCTCTAACCTGATTCCTGTTCCTGTTCTACAAAGATGCCCAAATTCACTTCAATTTCAGTCCCTGTTTTTCAATAATTTAATAAAGATGGCAGATACAGCCTAGCTATTCTATTTATGAAAGTAAGAGTTGACTATCAACACTTCAATGTGGCTGGAAGCCAGTTTTTGTCAGTTTACATTACAATCCTCAAGACAGATCTGCCAGGCTAGCCTACCCAGTAATCATGGCATTTTGCAAGTGTTCTCACAAACACAACATCAGACTACTACACGAAGTATTGTGTATTCTACAAAGGATGATCAGCTGTTCCAGCCATATCGTTAAAAAGAAAATATACCCAAACATTTCAAGGATGAAATCCCTGTACAGTGGCTATGAAGGGGTTCTCTGCTCCCAAGCAAGTTCTTTTATAAGCATGGTTTATGTCTATCAAATTATAATCAAAATTCTAATAATACATTTAGTCACTGTATAAGAGCGAGAGGCTACTCTTGGTGACCCCCTACATACACCCTGAAGATAAATCAAAACCTGTGTTTTGAAATAGTGAAGAAAAACAAAGGGACACAGACTGTCTTGTCCAAGGTCGTTCTGGGAAACAAGGAGTGAGCCGTAAATAGCACTTTCTAGTCAAGGTCTTGTGCCTTAACCACAAGACAAACGTCTACTTCAAACATTCACAAAGGTTGTCTGCTATCCAGAACAAGATGGCAACTGGGTCTTTGCTTGCCTAAAACAGGAAACAATGGTAAATAAAAAATGGTGTGCTTTCCACAAATTGTGTGTGTGTAAATGGCGCTTTACAGAATAGCAAAAGCAGAGGTCCCTGCCTTTAAGGAGTTTATAATCTGGACTTGGTTTCCATTGTGAAGGGAATGGCACTCTGTACATGACCATGGTATATTACAAGCACAGAATTTATATTATTTGACTATGTTTCTTTAAGGGCTGGTAATAGTGGCTGTGGAAAACAAAGGGGAAAATGGGACTGCGAGGCCAAGTGCACCTGCTACAAAGAGCTTGCTTGGAGATGAGATGAGGGGCACAGACTAAGAACTCAGAGGTGGTGCCTGACAGCAGAGGACAGAACTTGGAGGTGCTTTTTGGTTTTTAAAAGGGTCACTTTCCAATCTTGCAGTAAGGTAGTTTATTGTATTAACAAATTGCACTGATTTGTTAGGCTTTTTTTTTTGGCATTTGAGTTCTTTAACTGTTGGGTGTTTCCTGCGATTTATTAATTTTTGTCAATAAGCCCTAGAACTTAATCTGTTGCCAGGTGTTTGCCTCAATTCTTCAAATGCCCTCTCAAAAGTTGCCAGGTGTGCGTAACTACCCAAAATCCTCCACAATGAAGAGTGACTGAAAGAATTCAGCCTCTTTGCAATCTCCTAAATTCCTTTAGGGCCTTTTACTCCTTGGTTCCCTAATAGACCAACCACCTCCATACCTAGTTTCCTGCCCCAATTAAATACAATGTTACTGGTTATCTTGCAGTGTCCATTGAAATTAATGAATATAGAAGGATGTGACTCTTCTAATTCTTTTGACAACTTCCATTGCTTTTGCCAGAGCATGTGCTCCTTTTTGCTCTGCTTTGGCCAAGACTCCATCTATTACTTATTTATTTGTGTTATTTATAGCTCCATCTTTCACAGGGACTTAAGCAATGTTCCCTCTAAGCTGTGGAGTCTTGTGAGCAAAAATCATACTTTATGAGCTCCTGGCATTAAAGTTGTGAGCGAGCAATTTGGCTGCTGCATAAATTAGTTTGCTCTGGAGCCATCCTTCCTGAGCTAAGACAAAAATGTGTGAGACAGAGGCTAAAAAACTGTGAGCTAGCTCACACTAACTCAGCTTAGGGGGAACACTGGATTTAAGGTAGATTATACATGAGTCAGTACAATGAACTAAATGTGACATTCAGTAACTAATGCATTAGAATGTCCGAAGTCTGGAAGCACCAGAAAGAAACAGAAGCATAGCTTAAGTATTATTAAGACATATTCAGCAGTATAGAAATCACATAATAGGATACAATATGCCATATATAACAGTATAAACTGTAAGTCAGGATCAGTTATCCAAGTAAGTATGAACCATTTTGTACTATGCAGCCTTAGTACCTGAGTAGAAATCCCCTCTTGAATAGTTGTTTTGCATAGTTAAAAGAAGCCTAATTTTTAAAGATTGTATCCTTGACTCTGGTAGTGTCAGGTGAAGAGCCATGTTAGTCTGTAGTAGTAACAAAATTCTAGTCCAGTAGCACCTTAAAAGACTAACAAGCTTTTATGCATCAAAGCTCACTTCCTCTATCTGCTGAAGCTCACTTTAGCCAAAATGAACTTTGACTCATGAAAGCTTATATCCTGGGGGGAGTTTTTTTAAAAAAAAATCTTTAAGGGACTACTGTATTAGAGTTCTGTATTTGCTTGGACATTTCTTAATTTGTGGTATACATGTTAGCTGACCATCCATTATGGTGATTTTAAACCCTTTCTATGTATCTGGACTGGAGAGTGTTCACTTTCTGGATCCTCCCTTCGATTTCCTTCTAACCCCCTATTTTTTAGAAGCTTCTTCTTTGGAAATTGATGCATCACAGTCTTTGACCTTCTTTCTACTTACATATATGTTAAGTTTGCAGACATATTTTGTTCTGGGTCCCTGAACGTCATTCAGGACCAAGTCTGGTGTTGCCTCTATTTGGAACACCTTTTCCTTACAGCAGTTGGTTCAAGTACATGGTGGTTGCATTATGTACATCTCCTTTTTTTTGAAGGGCATTTGTGCCTAACAAATCCAACAATCCTAACCAAGTGAAGATGAAGGATAGTACAATTTCAGGGAAAGGAAAGCTGGGAGTCCTGTCTTGTTGCTGTGAAATGGGAGAAAGTGAAACTAACAACTGCAGACAAAAGCTTTAGCTGACTGAGCTAGAGACATCCAGCCCCTCCCTTGTTTTTTTGGGTTCTTGAATAGTTGACATTCATTTCAGTGAGGCTGATGCCAGACAAATTCCTAGTCATGTATGGCACAGATTTGCCAGGCTCCCATACTTAATAGCATCCTGAATCTGCCAACTGAAGTGCATACTATCTCATCATGCTTTATTATAGGGCTGCCTCAATTTACAGGCATACTTCCCAAGTACTAGGAGCAGGTACTGCAATTCACTGCAAAATATGTACTTTAGAACAGTTCCCTAGTCTTGTACTGAGGGAAAAGAGCTAATGCTCAAATATCCAAGCTGGAACATTTGGAAGATTATAAAAGGTAAACATTTAGTGCGGCACACACGTAGCTTAAACAGGAAATTTATGGACACCTTTGTTTTTAATTTAATTTAGTTTTTGAGATGGTGACTTCACCATTGGGTGCTGGACCAATCACTTTCAGGAATTACAGGCAAGGGCAGATATCAGCACCTCCAGAAACTGGCAGCTGAGCTTTGTTTTCAATACCAAAATCCATTTAACCTCGATAAAAGCTGGAGCCACAGCCAAGGAGCAGCCAGTCATTACATACACCGCCCCAACATGTTCTCTGGCAATTTCCTTCCAGGAAAACAAACAGTTCTCTCTGTAGATAGGCACATGGCTTGCTGCATAAAGAACCAGGTATTTTCATAGGTGTTATATACAGTGTTACATAAGAGATGCATGATTTTGTCTGGAAGATTTTGAGCCACACCTGCTAACAGACATAGCCTTCATTTTTTTATTCTGCATACAGCAGCCGAGATACTGCTGATGTGAAATCAATGTTAAATAGTAGACTATGACTTCTCTCTGTCTGAAAATTAGTTACATGGGTACTGGGGTAATATGCTTCTTTAAAGAGGGCTCCATATAGCTCTCTGTATTTGGCTCTCCAACCCCTCTCAGTGAGAAAAGGGTTTAATATGGGTTAAACACAGGACTTTTTTTCTGGGGGAACACATTGGAACGGAGTTCTGGAGCCTCTTCAACAAAATTATTTTAAAAATGTTTAAAAGTTCAGGAATTTTTAGTATAGAGATTGAAAACGTCATTTCCCTCTTGAGAGTTCCAGCACTGGGAGAGCCAGTTTGGTGTAGTGGTTAAGAGCGCAGGCTCTAACCTGGGAGAACCGGGTTTGATTCCCCATTCCTTCACATGCAGCTGTTGGTGTGACCTTGAGTCAGTCATAAATTCTTTCAGAACTGTTCTCTCAAGGGAAGTTCTTGAGAGAGCTCTCTCAGCCCCACCTACCTCACAGAGTGTCTATTTTATTTATTTATTTTTGGATTTATATCCCGCCCTCCCCGAAGGCTCAGGGCGGCTAACAACGAGGCACAAGTGCCAGAATTAAAACAGATAAAGCAGTCTAAAACCATAAAACAATACAGTACAACAACAAAGTGTCAGTGCAAGATGGGGTAGAACTTCCTCAAATGGTATTGGTCCCACAACTTGTCAGCACCCTCTCCTTCCAGGGTCACCTTGCACCCAGATGGAACCACATATTAGTGGTAGTGGTGCGATGCTGCAAACATATCGGTGGTGGAATTGAAGTGGCTGCGGCTCCTACTCAAAAGCCTGGCGGAAGAGCTCCGTCTTACAGGCCCTGCTGTTGTGGGAGGGGAAAGGGATTGTAAACCCCTCTGAGACTCCTTCAGGTAGTGAAGGGTGGGGTATAAATTTATTTTATTTATTATTTATATTTATACCCTGCCCTCCCTGCAGGCAGGCTCAGGGCAGCTTACAGAGGTCAATTTCCTCTTCTTCTTCCTTCTTCAAAAAAGCCCTAGTTAAACATATGTATCTGTTAATGTGAACATGAACATGCTGCAGCTCTGTACACCTGAGGTTGTCCTATTGAACATTCTGTAGGGAGTAGCTATAATTACACCGTTGAATTCCTGTAGCATTTTAAAAAATATCCAAAGTGAAGCTATTGCCTTTGCTGTTGGTTTCCCACTGCACCTCCCAATGGAATACAGTCTCCAAGCATGCGTGGTGTCTCCTTGCGTCCAGCATGCTTCTGAAAAGCCACACTCGAACGCCTGTCTGTCTTCAGCATCCAACACCTCTGATAGACTGCGTCCGAGCCTAGAAGCTCCCTTTTGCAGGCAGGCATCTCTGCCTTCCCTGCTTAGGACCCAGCAGGCGTCGGCGAAGGCGTCTCGGCTACAGCCGCAGCAGCTCCGGGCTGAGGAGGTGGAGCTGCAGTTCTTTAAAAAGACCAGCCTTGTTTACTGCAAACGAGAAACGAGTCGGACAGAGCCGGGGCCGCGGCGTCGCGCTGCTCTGGCCATGGAGCCCAGCTGGGCTCGGGCGCTACTTGTGAGCTGCTGGGCACTGCTCGCCTTGGCCTCCGCCGCCGAAGGTGAGCTTCGCAACTGCACCCCACCCCCCGCTCAATCGGGTCGGGCACATCCCCCCCCCCGCGGCTCCATCTTGGCTGGAGCGAACAAAGGCGAACTCCGGACCGGCGCCCCTTTAATTGAACCCCCCCCCCCGGCCCCCCCCCCTCTTTCGGCAAGAAGAGGGAGCTGCGACAGGGCGACCCGCCCGCCGACTCCCCCCTTCCCTGCTTGGCTCCATTTTGGCTCCGCATTCTCGCTGCCTGCAGCCATCTTTTAGCTTGAGGGTCCTGCGTGGGGTTTTTTTGCAAGAGGGTGGCAGTTCCCGCAGGCTCTCCTTCACCCTGCCTACCCCCCCGTGCCGCTGATTGCGCCAGGTTCAGCCCCAGGGCCGGGGGTGGCTTGGTAGGAGCAGCACGAGCGGAGCTGCTTCCAGCGGTGTTTTGCAGCGCTTTTTGCTGCTTTGCAGCGATTCCGGTTTGGACTGATGGGTTAAGAGGGAACGAAGAGAATTCCTGAGATTGCAGAGAGGGGCGGCTGCCGGGTTGTGGAGGGGTCCCGCAGACAACGGGGAGCTCGATGCACGCAGCGGGCAGCGACTGGCCCCATCACCGAGTCCCCACCCCCTTCCCGTGCTTCTCCGAGTTGGTTCACAAGTGCATCCTGTATGCTCATAACTGAACGCGCGGCCGAACATGTGAGTGGGGCAATGTACGTAATATGCATACAACGGCGGGCCGTGGACCGCCTTCACACACGCGCGAAGCTCACGCACGCGTTGAAATGCCCACGGTAACTAAGCCTCTGCCACCAGCAAACCTGTTTCTCGAGTGCCTGGTGTGAGGAACGGTCGCCTGTCGCACTACAGCTACTGGGGTGGGGGGCAACGCAGGACAGGCGAGCAACAGCTGTCTTGGCCAGCAACTGGGACGCTCGCACACTCTGCAAGCGCTTAGAGGCACTGCACGGCCGAGGGCAGAGCGAGCGGCTTCCTGCATTGCGCAAGTAGCGCAGCCAAAAGCCCATGATACCGCTGTCTCGTGATTGGCTGACACTGTTTCCAGGCCTCGAGCCAGCTTTCCATTGGATGCGGCTTTCGGCTGATGTCATTCTTCAAGCTGCCTGGTCTAGGCATGTAAACAACCTGGTCGCGCCCCCTGCACGTGGGCGGCCGCTTATGAGGCTCGCCCTTTCTCTGCGCGGTTAGCTTAGCTGCTTGCAAGGGAGGGCGGGTGGCGTGCAAAGAGGGGGTGGGGTGTTTTTTGCCTAGTGCATTTGTTACCAGAGCCGTATCCGACGTAAATGGGTCTTTTGGCGGGCGATACTGTTGCCAACCTCCAGGAGGGGCCTGGGAATCTCCCGGAATCACAACTGACCTCCAGCCTACAGAGATCGTCTCCCCTGGAGAAAATGCCTGTTTTGGAGGATGGGGTGCATGGAGATGTTGCAAGGCCATACAGTTATAAGCACTGGGATCAAGGTGTGCCTGGCTGATGGGTCTTGGTTCTTCAGTGCCCCCTTTACACAGTTACATATTGTGAAGCAAGCTACCCACTGACATCTTATGGCACTTGCACCTCTTCCTGGCTGATTCCTTATAATACTGCACATGTTCAGACTGGCACATACACCATAATTGCAGACAGCAGAGGAAAGATGCAGGAGCAAACAGGAGGGTAAATGCATCAACTGAACATGTTGAATGGGTAGAAAAGAGTAGAATGGGTTGAAAAGTCCAGTAGCACCTTAAAGACTAACAAATTATGTGGCAGGGTATGAGGATTTGCGAGTCACTCCTCGCTTCTTCAGAAGTGAAAAATCTGAGTGAAGAAATATCTGAAGAAGTGAGCAGTAACTCAGGGAAGCTCATAACCTGCCACATATTTTGTTAGTCTTTAAGGTGCTACTGGACTCTTGCTCTTTTGTACTGCTACAGATGGACTGACAGGGCTACCCATCTTGATCTATCATCGAATGGGTGTTACGCAACCTGTTGTCTACTTGTTGAGGAATATTATGCATATCAGAGCATGGTGGTATTGCAACCAGCAACACCATTTCTAGTCTGCCCTCAGATCACCATGTTACATTCAGGAAACACATTTCTTGGAGCAAACTGGATGCCAATTTTTCTCCCCTCTCTGACAGATGTTACCTCTAGTGTATTACCTGCTGTTACCGCCAAAACTATGGATGCTGCAGAAGGAGACCACATTTTTGAATCTGCTAATAGCTTACCATCCCGGAGTGAGGCAGCTGCTGTTCAGCCGGTCGTTGGGATTAGCCAGCGGGTCAAGATGCGATCAAATGAAAAAAAAGATTTGGGCACCCTAGGTATGTTGGGTTTCCTGTAAATACCCAGAAATAATGCTTGATACTCAAGATAGATTTGTTTCAGAGTTGTGAGCCATATCTAGAGAGCCAGTACAGTAGAGTTGGTTAGAAAACTGGACTAGGATTTTCAAATCCCCACTCTGCTTGTAAGAGTTCACTGGGTGAGTTCTGATAAGTCACACTCAGTCTGGCCTACCTCACAGGGTTGGTGTTGGCAGGGGTCATTTTGTAGAAAAAGAGGTGCAGGAGCTCATTAGCACAATTTATTAGCATAACTTATTAGCATATGCCACACCCCCTGACATCACCGGAAGTGTGTCAGAAGGCAACACCCACCGCTCAGGCTCCACTGGACTGTTTTGGATTGCTAGCTATTGGGGGGGGGGGACACACGCAGATCTGCTCTCACAGAGGAGGGAGAGCTTGTACCTGAACGCGGAGGGGGGGGGGCTCTGCAACTTACATGGCTGCTGCTTGCTTCTTATGGCCCCACTGAGGGCTGCTGGGAGCAGGGGGCGGGGCTTATTGCATGTGCTCACCCCCTGATGTGCTTACTGCCGGAGCTCCGCTCCTGTGCGCTCCCGCAGGAAATGACCCCTCGGTGTTGGAAGGATAAAATGGAAAAGAGGAGAATGTATTCTAAACTGCTTAGGGTTCCCACTGCATGGAGAAAAGTGGCACATAAATATGTAAACAAACAGAAGCTCCACACTTGGCTATCTGCACTTCCTAGTTTGTTCTGTGCTCTACACAACTTGCTTTCCATGCCCTGTGGTTACTGTTCCTTGATGGTACTATGGAATTTCAACATTCCTCACCTTTGCTTTTTCCAGCCCTCTTGGTCATCTTACCACATTCCAAAACCAATTCCAGATTTTCTTCAGAACCTGAATTTTAGGAGAAATTCTTCTCCTAGACAAAAAAAATGCTTACAAATACAATTTCCATAGTTTCACTGTAGAATTTGGATTGATGGGTGCACAGACACTTGGCAGGTTGTTTAACTGCTGCTGCATCATTAAAGTGCACTTCTCTCTCGCCCCCTTCCCCCAAACAGGCTATGTGATGGGACTTATCATGATGGTGATCATCATTGCCATTGGAACAGGAATTGTTGTGGGCTACATCTACAAAAGGCAAGTATCATAGGAAGTTTCTTCCCTCTGAGGAACCTAAGCATTTGAGTGTAACCTTGCGGTGTAGCAAAAGTCTACCCATTACCCCACCCACTCCTCTTCGGTCTTACAAGTGGCTCAGCAGTTTCCGTGCTAAAATCATAATTCTGCTTCACTACTACTAGGACAGTCTCTGGGTTTCCGCCCCCACTCCTCAGAGTAGCAGCTCCCTCTCCCCTCTGGGCAGTAACCAAGCAGACCAATCACAAAGATGCGATGCAGCAATACAACCAGACAGTCAGCCTTGCCCTCTCAAGCCAGTGCTTCACTTTGTCCTCCCAGTGGCTTTACTGCAAGGCCAAGGTAGCCTGAGCAGCTTCCACTACTGAAGTGCCCTCAGGCCTAAGCTATCTTTGCTGCTTTCCCCTTGCTTAGTCACAGCCCAGGGGCCAACTTAAAGGACATGTTCACTTGCACAAGGTCGGGGAGGCGTGCTCTCAGTTGGAGCCTTTGAGTCAATCACTCCCAGAGGGAGAAAACAGTCCACCTTATTTGGTATTGTGGAAGGTGCTGCTGTTTACCTTTGAGGCGTTGTCCTTTTGTGAAGGAAGCTTTACAGCTCAAAAGAAGCTGAAGTTGAAGGAATGAGAGGATAAACAAAAGGGAATGCCTTTTAAAATGTTTGCTAAGCACTAATTGGTTTAAGGATACATTTGCCCAAGGAATTGGTGGAGGGGCAGTAAAGATTCCCTTAGCCAAAATTCTTTCATTACTGTGTTAGGATGGAAACATTCCTCACAGCCTCATTTCCATTCATTTCTAAGGATTGAATCCTGAAGCAAAGAGAATGCTTTCATCCCTATACTTGAATTCAGAATTAAAGTACTTGAATTCAGAATCTTCAGACACTTCTGGCAGGGAAACAATAACAGTGACAATGGTCATAAAGAGGGAATGGTTTTATTGTCTGTCACTAGGACTCATTTTGCTGGAAGGATTTCAAAAGCCTACATTCCTTCTTGGCCCTTGTATTTGCAAGCAGTTGATAGGAAAGGGGTAGCTTGCCACAACACCTGACCGTTACTTTGACAGCTTCCCATGTCTCAACTTACTTTCTTCATGGGAAGTGTAATGTTTAAATCATGCCCCACAGAATTTAGGCCAGGGCTTCCAAAGCAGACCAGGGTCTATTTTTTTCTGAAAAAGAAGATTAAGTACTGATGGAATGGGTCTGACCTGGCTATGTAACATTCCTAGAAACTAGGTGGGGGCAGTTTATCTCCAGGGTTGTTGGGTTTTTTGGGAGTAGGGGTGGGGGAGTGACACAAGGAAACTTCAGATATGTGCAATACTTGGCTTTCCTATCAAACCTAAACTTGTTTTATTGCTTTAATAGCATACTGTATCATCTAACCTGTAGATAGCATATAACATTGTACTGTTTGGCATATTTATGGAATTTAAAAGGAAAGTGCCTTAAGTATGAGAAGCAAAATGGTACATTCATTCACCCAATCCTTGATAGTGCTGCACATTGCTGCAAGCAGTGCTACCTGAGCACATATATCTTAATTTCTGCTGCATGCCAAAAAATGAAGTAGAAAACATATGTGTATGATGTAAATAGGAGTTACCCTTACCCTGTAGCTTCTTACATGAAATATTTCATGCTCTATGAGTCAATCCCTGTCCTAAAACACATTTTACTCATTCCAAAAGGGGGAAAACCTTTTAAGTACCACAGCATTCCTAGATACAGTTTTTGTAAAGATAAAGAATATACCAATAAGTTGGCCTCACAGTATTTTTTTTGTGCTGCAAGGGTCAGATGAGGTGGTTATACTGTTACCTTCCCACAAGCCTTCCACTGGGTTACAAATAGTGTTGAGTAATAGTGAGTGACCCCCTCCCTCAGCCTTGCATAACTGCTGAGGGAGGGGCTGCCTCAGATGCATTCCTCAGTGCCACCCTCGTGATCACTTAAATAGCAGCCTAGCAACCATTGTGCCTAGCTTACGCCTCAGGGAGGTTTCTCTACAGAAATCATTGTTGAGGCAGACTTGCAAAAGCAATGGGGTGTGTTTGGGGGGTGCTCTCTTATTATTCAAAATAAAAAAGAATCATGTGCCAACCTTAAGGTCCTGGGCCCTGTGGAGAAGCAGTTCACTACATCCTGCTTGTGCTACTGTACAACAGCCTACAAAGCAGGACTAGATGGGCCACTATTCTGATCCCAGCAGGCTGCTCTTACATTCTGTTAGGGCAGCCCTCTCCCTGACCTTGTTGAGAGTTGCAGGGTACACCTGACCACAGGATAGCCACTGTGGAGGCTGGGGTCAGTCACAAAATGTGAGGGGACACCTGGCCAAAAATCCTTCAGTGATGGAGGGAGCTGTTTCCAAACTGGTGCTCCCTGTAGACACAAAGTTGATTCTTCCCATACTCTTCTGTTCTACCTCCTGTTCCACTGAGCTGGAGGAAGTCCAGGGTTGTCCCTTTCTTTGTGGCAGGAGGAAGCGGACACCAATGAACACATTGTAGGGAACCACATTGGAGACCAATGGGCTATGGTCCTCTGCTTCCAGATGCAGTGAGGTCTCTTGAGTTACAACTCCCCATGTTGTCCCCCCTTCTTGAGAAAAAACTCTCCTGGCCCTAGACTAACAAGGTTAACAGTAATTAAAAGAT